AGAATTTATCTGAAATATTATGATTATATGTTGCTCAGAAACGTAATGTTGACAAAATGTTCCCTAACAACTCTTCCATATTTTGAACGTATTTATAGAGACGAGTTCACCTCAGGAAGAGGTGAGATCTGTTGTACCCACGTTATCCAGGTCTGCTGAAGAAATGTTTATTAATTATACACCCAGTGATGATAGAAGCAAGAAAAACCGAAAACGTCGTGACGGAAAAGGAAGCTGGGGATCAATATCTAAAGTGTTCACTAGAGGACGCCAGCGTAGAGCTCTAGATTCAGGAATGTTCGATAGTGAGTTATTCTAATCAAATGACTTTTTTTTTACGTGAGTATGAACTATAAATGATCTGATCTCACCAGAAACAATTATCTATACACCATCCCTTCCATTTAATGTCTTATTGTAATGTTAGGTGTAACTGAAAATGTTTTAACATAGAGCATAATTTCTGCGTTCCCAGTTAAAGTTGTATATAATTGAAGAATACGAAACAATTTTACATTTCTTCAACGAATGATATTTTGTAGGTTTATGTTGGAAAGAGGGCATGAGTTTAAGGTAACAAATAACACCATACTTGCCTTTTTAGCGCCCTCTACTACGTATTAACTATACTTATTTTAGTATCTATTAATTTCATATAAGACAACAACAACGCAGATTAGCGGCAGCCTTTTTGTTTTTTTTTTCAAGCACAATTTCATCACAACCGCTGATTTCTAGTGACTCCCCCCTCCTCTTCTCACAGAAACCTTCGGCTATTTTCGTAGCAAGAAAGAGTATATAGGGACCTGAAACGTTTTAAGTACGTGGATAAGCTTTTCCCAGAGAGTAAATTATAAACTTTAAGCAAATTGTTAATTTTTTTATAAAATTGTTGCCTCTTGGTCATTAGAACACATTCGCGTTGGTTTTGCTAGAACGTGTTTACCTTTTCTAGATTGCTGTCATAATCAACAACAAATTAGCCTATACAGTACAGTAATAAATAAAACAATAACTGTAGTAGATACCCAAACAAAATTCTACGTTTTTACCTCATCATATGACTGCCAACAAGTCTAAGTATTGCCATATATTGTTCAGCGTATTTTGAATTAATTTACAGTTTAGAATTACTACTTGTTATGAGATGCCTGGTTGTATCATGAGTTAAGTTAGTATTTGTCCCGTCGTAGACTTCGAGGGGTTCAGTATGATGTGTTAAAACGATTTTGGAGACTCACCACGTCATTACAGTCCCTGTCTTTACGTCCGGTCACACTCTATCTTGAAAATAGCCTTGCAGCGTATTTTCCATTGCAAGAGGCTCCATCGTAAAGGCTTCATGTTCAAAGCATTCATCTATCCATGTTTTCTGTAATCCACTCAGTGTAGGAGGGCTACAATTTCCCAGCGCCCTTTTCAACAGATCGAACGCACGGAAATCCACAGGCACTGTGTCCGATGACTTGACTGGTGTGTGTCTTTATGTGGAATGGTTATTTCATTATCCAGCCGCTCGAGGTATGTGACGATTCAACGGATATGTCGTGGGAGTAACTTATGTACACGTGACTTGTGTCGCTGACCTAGACTCAAATTCGTTTTAGACTATGTTACGTACTGTTGTCTAGGGCACGCGGACGGCCTTTGCCATGACCTTTGTTATAAGACGCCGCATTTTGTTTATCCCGGCTGAGTTACGACTTTTTGCAGGTACCTTTCTGAGTGATCCTGAAACCCATATTGATTCATATTCCCTTTTTTCATTAAGTACAAAATATATTGCTACCATGTAAATTCTAAATATCCGTTCCAAACACAATTATATGATCTGACAACGTATTATCACATACCCTTCCCAAAAGCAATTAATTTTAAGTGGTATCACATACGTAGGAACGCCAAACAATGTCAGAATTTGAATCTCATACATGTCGTTCCACCTTGAGTTCATATTGCCTGTGGTTGTCACATGACTTGCTGGTTTGCATATTCAGAATCATTTTAACGTAACGTGGTAAACCCGATATGCTTATTTAGTGAAGAGAAACAATTAGTATCCAATGAAAATTATTCATTTCCTCGACGTTTCACCTTACGGCTTTATCAAGAGGTAGATACTCTACTGAACACAAGGCCAGTCTTAACGGAATAAACAGTTGATGTAATTCAAAATAATAACAATGTGTTCTTATGTATCGTCTGACATGCAACCACGTTATCAACAATAAAAATGTAACAACAAAAAGTGTATGACAACAATACAAACACGGTGAAGAAAATGTTCATTCAAAAGCGAAAACGAAAGATGAGTGATGGGAACATTTACGTCTAATAAAGATCTAATAAGTAAACTCTAAATGTTGCTATAACTACATGTATATATAAATATACTTTAGAAAAGGAATACAGTAGAAGGTATTAAACCATCCATATACACATACAGAACCCCACCATGTAAAATGACAATAGAAAGGACTGCTTGTACTCGCCGTCCAGGAAATCGTGCCATTTTCTTTCTGTCATAATTTTAAACATTTATCGGACTTAGGCAATCTGTGTTCATTAATAAAATGTGCTACAACCACACTCTTGTTAACTTTACCGTAACATGCAGATGTTCCATGCAAGACACTTTTATAGATCTCTCATTTTCACCAATAAATCTTTCGTTACAAATATCACAAAAGATACTGCAAACTACACCTTTATCTTTAGTTACAAGTGTCACAAAAGATGGTGTAAACTACACCTTTATCTTTCGTTACAAATATCACAAAAGTTACTGTAAACTACACCCTTATCTTTCGTTACAAGTGTCACAAAAGATGGTGTAAACTACACCTTTATCTTTCGTTACAAATATCACAAAAGATACTGTAAACTACACCTTTATCTTTCGTTACAAGTATCACAAAAGATACTGTAAACTACACCTTTATCTTTCGTTACAAGTATCACAAAAGATACTGTAAACTACACCTTTATCTTTCGTTACAAGTATCACAAAAGATACTGTAAACTACACCTTTATCTTTCGTTACAAGTATCACAAAAGATACTGTAAACTACACCTTTATCTTTCGTTACAAATATCACAAAAGATACTGTAAACTACACCTTTCTCCATTCATTTCTTCAGGAGTCCTAGATTATCTGCGATACGTTTTTTGTTGTTGTTTTTTGGGAGGATGAGCGGATTTAAATGCTGAGCGCACTAGCTAAAACTCATAGCCATCTTCTGGCCCACTGTTGATGAAAAAGGTTTACTACGCTACCTCTATGCTTATGTATATTGATATAGCTACATGTGTGTCTTTGTGTGTGTCCTGAGCAGCTTGCACTGCGGGGACATTTATGTTTGTGAAACGGTAGCAACATCTGTTTCTTAAAAGTTGTTTTCGTCTCGATTACTTTGGAGTATGTATAGTTTCTTTTATGTATCACTTTGTAAAAAAAACATTTTAATCAAAATTCAAAACATTCGTGAAACACAAAAAAGGAGTAATAAAAAATACTCTCCTCCCCTCTTTCTTTCTTGGTGTATACTCCTGATTTTACTTTTTTAGAAATTTCCATAAGATTAATATACTTTTTTTCATGAATAGCTGAGAACGCTAGCCAGGTGTCGCCTCAGAGCAGTGTATGCGTCAGCCCAATAACGGAGGATGTCTACGCGGAAAAAGTAAAGCTGTTGGAAGACGCACAAGGAATCTCCATGGAGAAGTGGAAAGCTGCGACGGTACAAGCCTGGATTGAAATCTCTCTAGGAATGCCTCAGTATGGTGCTATGTGTGCCGAGAATGTCAAAAGTGGAAAGGTACTGGAGAGAGCTTTTCTTTTTTTTTAACCTTGAACTGCTGGCCAGTTATACCTGCTCATAGCTTCTAATAAGGACATGGAATGGCCTGGTAGTTAGGGCCCTCGACTCACAGTCTGCAGGTTTGAAACCCGTCACCGAGCATAGTCGCCCTTTCAGCCGTGAGGGTGTTATAATGTAACGGGCAATCCCACTATTCGTTGGTAAAAAGCAGCCCAAGAAGTGGCGATAGGTGGTATTGACTAGCTGTCTTCCCTCTAGTCTATCACTTCAAAATTAAGGACGACTAGTGCAGATAGCCCTCGTGAGTTTCGCACGAAACTCAACAAAGAAAACAAACCTAACTTCCAACCAGTGTCATTTGTTTTTAAACTTACTGAACTTTTCTATATATTTTTTTTAAACAAATAAGGACTGTTGTGAACTATGTACTTTAATAAAAACTTGTTAATGTTTCTTTCGAAGTACCAGCAAATCGAAAACAGAAAACATTTGTAGTACTTTGAAAGTGTTTTTGTTTGACATTCTTACATCTAAGAACGTGTTATCAATGAACTATGTACTTTAATAAAAACTTGTTAATGTTTCTTTCGAAGTACCAGCAAATCGAAAACAGAAAACATTTGTAGTACTTTGAAAGTGTTTTTGTTTGACATTCTTACATCTAAGAACGTGTTATCAAGCACAGATATTCAAATTTATGCATATATTTCCAGCGAACTTTCGAGACAAACCGATGCTCTTATTTTTCTTTTAGAT